GTCCATTCCGATCCCGCCCACCTCCACCTTCATCGGAATCTCCAGCAAGAAGGAACTGAGGCAGTGGAGGGCCATGCTAGGATATACCGGCACCACTCCGGGGGCTCCCCTGCTGGCCCAACAGGTACTGCTAAGGGCAAAAAGCTTCCGGAACTTGTGCATGGGGCGCATACACACAGAGACAGAATGGACATAAGCAACACATCTCGAAGAACAACAGTTACGAGGTAAGTAACCATCTTTTCTCAGTGTTTGCAGCTATCGATAATATCTCCCTTTTATGGATTTTGGTCCTCTTTGGGCTACAGACACAGAGGGAACTTCTTTGTCTCCCATCTCCAAAGAACCCCATGGAGGGTGATGTTGGCACTTGTCTTACCAAGTCAGCTGGATATTTGGTTACCATATTTGAAATAACAAAGGATAAACACTGACCCTTGGGCAGTTACCGGAGTATCTGTATTTCCAAGTTGCCAGGTCTTCTGTCCCCCAGTTTACTGTATTTAAAACTAGGTGTTAAATTCTTATTTCTCATTGCTTATGGTAACCTTTAGGATTCTTAAAACCAAATTGCATTTTCATTTGATCATTTTGTTTCCTGCGTTGTCATGCATATTGATTTATGCTGCTGCATCAGAGATGGGCATCTGATGCTGTTTTCCTGTTTTTCTTTTGCCTTGAAAAGCCGAAATAATTACACAGATTTTGAAATTGCACAGATGATGTGGAGGAAAGAGAGTCTGAGACCAAGAGGGACAAAATGTGGGTCTTTTACTAAATTAATTGGTCATTCTGTGTAGAATAAGACTGTATCTGCATTTTTATGATGCCATAGTCTGTTTCCCTCCAGCAGGTGTGGCAGAACTGGTGTGTCTCATGTGTGGCCCAGCTCTGGCATAACAAGAGGGAAGGCCTTTTAACCTTATAGAAATGTAATCCTCAATGAATAGTCAACACCTAACAATGCCTATGTGCTCCCTGTGCATGAGAAGAACGGAGAGATGGACCACTTTGTGTTTTTTGTTCTTCACAGACAATGGCCCTACAGGAAACAGGAGGACTGGGACAGCCACTGTGCACATCACTGTACTAGATGTTAATGACAATCGGCCTATCTTCCTTCAGAGCAGTTATGAGGCCAGTGTACCTGAAAACCTCCCAGACTCCAGCAGCATAGTGCAGGCACGTATCCCTCCTGTTCACCAGGCTCCAAAGGAAATGTGTGACTGTGTAAAATGGAATCTCCTCTCCCTTCCATCTTGCCACATTCCAACTGTTAGCTGGAAAGACACAGTTGTATAGAACTTAACAGATCTTTCCACCTCTGGCTATGGTCCATTTCCCTGCCAGTCTAGGATTATTCAATACTTTACACTTGCTACCCAGTCCTTCCTCTCTTTTCATGGACCAAAAACAGAGAGCCAGAGAGGCTGGGAAAAAGGAAGCTGGGCAAGTGAAAATAAGTAGAGACAGGGAATGGGAGGGAACCCGGGAAGAGAAAAAACAGGAAACTGCTTCACCCCACTTCTTGAGAAAACAATCTCTGTGTGAGAGAGTCTCTTCCTTTCTCTTTCTTTGGCTTTTCTTCTCTTTCCCACCCAGCTGGCGTTCTGTATGGTATATGTGACTAAGGACTCAGCAGCAGCAGCGCTGCACTCTGCAAGTTTCCATTCTGCTTGGGGAAAGTAACATTTTCCATGGTGGGGAGAGAAAGGAGACAGTCCTCAATAGCAGGCAGCTAGTGCCCCAGAACAGAGGCGCTTTCTTTGTGACACTGGCTGAGGCTGCAATGTCCTTTCTCTCCTCTCAGTGAGCTAAGAGGCTGAAAGGCCACAGCAGTCTTCAAAGAGAGAGTGAAAGTTTGGAGTCTCATTTTTATTTTTCTTTCCCCTTTGGAACTAGCCTCAGTAGAGCTGAATGAGCCAGGAATAAATGCATGTATTCACTTAGCCTCTGAGGGTTTCCAATGTTTTCTGGAGCAGACGCCAAGGAATATTTGCAGTATACTTTGTGAGGCCTTCTTATGTTTTGAATGCATCTCTTAGAGCTGGAAAAGGAGCAGTGAGGTGACAGGGCTTTGTCCCTGTCATGTGGAGAGGGAAATGGCAAAGTGATTCACTGGAAAAAAAAATTGAGCCTTTCACCTGTTGGTCTCTTGTTAAATCCCGCCCAGATCAGCAACAAAATTGTCGTCTGTGAAAGGTTTTTGGTGTGAGCTGTTCCTAGTGGATATAAGAGCCTACAGAAAAAAAAATTACCACAAGTCGTATTCTTTGTTGTCTGAATTTCAGCTTTTTATGTGCTTGGTTCTGGGTTGTGCTGAATAACTTTGCTGCACCTTAGCTATGCTGGAGTGTTATTTCTCATGTGGGTAGTTTTTAAATTAGGCCAGTATATCAGTAGGATCCCTTTTTATTCTGTGAATATACTGTACATCTAAATACATAAGTAGAAAATCTGAGGACTGAACAGGCCTGGAGACTAGGCTGCTCTTTTACCTTAGAGCCAATCTCTCCAAGTCAAGGCCCAGTCACATTGCCAGGGCACCATGGGAAGAAGTACCAGGCTCTGTTGCTGCCTGCTCTCTGGATTCTTTTGGGTCCTTGCTCTCCAGGCTGTCAATTCAGCTCCACATGTAGAGGCAAACTTTTAAAAGGTATAATCAGTCAAAACTGCATGACTGGAGTTTTTTACTTCCATAGGCAAAAGAGAGATTGCAAAGCTCATGTAATTGTTGTCATTATTCCATCAGGGCAATCTTAATTAGGGTGGTGGTGACGTGGACACCTGTCACTCCCAAGTGCTTATGGGTGAGGACGAAAACTTCCCTCTCTTGAGTGTGTGTCCATGTACACCTGCAGACTCCTCTTCAATCTCTCATTTCCAGGCAAAAAGCTAAAAATTATAGTTATGCACTCAGAACCCATGAAGCTTTCTCATGTCCTGTTCTGATGTTAGGGCTGGCTGGGCGGGAAACCAGCCCCAGTGAAGTTAGAGCAGCTTAACTTCCCGGAACTGGGGATTGTTCTGCTGGCCCTGGATTTCTAAAGTGCATTGTGTTCCATCTCGGCTCTGCTGTACTGGCCAGACCTCTATAGGAGGAAGTAAGAAGCAGGTGGTGTAAAGCTCACTGGGCAAGATTTGCACAGCTGAGAATTCTCCCATGCAAGGAGAATCTGCAGTTTCCCACATTGGCCTGACTTAGGGTTTCTTTTGTGTCACTTTGGGAGCACAAAGCAATCTTGGTGGGTGCCAAGGGCTTTCCCTCCAACTTTGTAAACAGCCTTGTAACTTTCTGCTTTGGGATGATGTAGTGATGCTGTTCAGACCCCCTAAATTCAGGTAGGCTGCACAATCCCAGTAAGCAACCCTGTTTTCAGTCATTTGATGGATTTGCTCTGGATGAGCATAGGCTGATCATGCTAATAACTTCAAAATGTGTGTTTTAATTGTTTTTTTTTCCTATTTAGACTTGCCAGGCCCCTTAGCTCCTTTTGATGAGTTTTAAAGAAAAATATGAGCAAATCAAAAGATGTTTTTCCATTAGAAGGAACATCCATGTTTGACAATTGGCCTGTGTTTAGGCAGAAACTTTTTTGATTGCCTGTCTTTTGATTCTAACATAGTATAGAGCAACACAATAATAACTATGAAATAAAACTGAAATTATAGACATGGCTTCCCCACAAAGGACAATACAATGTTTTCTAAAATGCTCCCTGAAATGAAATGCACCTGAAAGTCTGGAAAGGAAGGGTAGTGTAACCTAGAGAATTTGGCAGTAAAATAGTCTTTAATGACCTTCCAGGAACGTTAGTTTTCCCTGAAATAAAATGTAAGAGAAATGAAATTCATTAAACTGGGTAAATGATGTCAGAGTAAATGATATAAACAGTGTATTTTAGTTTACTGAGTAAATTAAGGAAAATGCATTCTCCTCTCCCTTCGTCTTTCCCATGGTTTTCATTGTGTATCATGAACCCTTAGGGCTAAATGAGAATCTTGCAGTTCCCATTGTTGTCAAGGTTGTGGATATAAAGAAGGCTTCTCTATTGTTCTAATGGGAGCTGCTAGGCGCTGAGCACTTCTGAAAATATGCCCGCTTCATTGAAGTGCCTAAATGGGAGTTGTTGGGTGTAAAACTTTGGGGAAAACCTGGCCTTAATATACTGTGTTGTTTTTAGTTATACTGCTTTTGTTAAGACTGCCTTTGTAAAAGGGAATGCAGATAACCAGGCCAGTCCTAGGTCCCTCACAGCAGAAATTGCACAGCCTCTTTCCACCTCGCCAGTGATTGAAACCCTCAAAAGGGCCTTTCAGTACATTCACAAATATGTTTACCTGATCCTGCTGCTTTATTCATTGATGCAGTTTTTCAGTGCGGGTTTGTGGAGTTGAAGATTACACACAAACTTAGAACAACTCATGGATTATACCATTGGGAAGAGTACATAGGTATTATATGGTAAACAGAGGGTCATGCAGTAGAGCCTATTCAGCACACACCTGTTTAGGAATAGGCCAGCGGAGAGAATACATTTTCCGTGCACAAATTCCAAACCATTCCAGAATGATAATGAGACCTCAGATCCATGATAAATCCGCTAAAAGAATACAATTATAAGGGCAATAAAATGTAAAATACAATAGAAAACATAAAGGAATACATCTGATTAAAAGAAATACACATTACTTTATACCACACTTGTGTATTATATTAACCCTGTGTCACTTATCCTAGAAGCAGTGTTTGTTGTGCCTGAGAGGTTATGATTTGTTGCCCAAGTCATTTGTTACAAGTGTTACATGACTTACCCAATGTTCTTCAAAAGAAACCAAGCAGCACCTTATGAGCTGTGTGTTTAAGCTTCTCGTGGATGTCATTTGGACCTACCCATTTCAGACCAGGAAACAGGAGCCCTGAATATGTACTCCACACAGATAGTAAAACTGAAGTACCACAATTTCAATTCCTCTTCCTGAATATGTACTCCACACACATAGTAAAACTGAAGTACCACAATTTCAATTCCTCTTCCACCTGGACCTAAGCTCCATTTTCCACCCCATTCTAGAAAGGGGAATCATTAGTGGTTAAAAGATAAAAGATCACAGGGACTGTAGTATTAGAAATTCTCAAGACCTCCAACAGAAGTGCTTAGAATAGCACTTATTTAGCTTTCCTTACTAATATTAAAGGCTAGTGCTTAATGCAGATGGTGAAAATCAGTGAGTCCTCAAAATATTTTAATTTGGTGTATTTGGACAGGTGGGGGTATTTTTAACAGAGCTCCCTAATTTCTGTGCCCTAGAGAGGGATCCAGTATTCCCTCTAGTTTTTTTCCCTTCTTTGTCTTCTCCCTTACAATGCCCTTCATCACAAAGGGAGATTGAACAGCACTGTTTGGAGCCCAGCAGTGTGCTTTGGGGTGCAATAAGTCCTTTTGTCACCGAGTGTGGGAGAGTCACCAGGCCCTGCACCCCCGTCCGCAACCAGATGTGACTCTCAGCCAGAAAATAGAACAGAAGGTTTATTCGTTGACAGGGACACAGCCTGGCATGGACTCATTGTTACAGGAACTAGGAGAAGTCAGCACAATCCATCCTGGGAATAGGGGGGCCCAGAGCCAGGGCCCCTGCCCTGGCCCCCAAGCCAGTTGGCTCTCTTCTCCCCCAGCTAGCTGAAAACTAACTCTCACACCCAGCAACTGCTCACAGCCCTACAGGCTTCCCTGCCTCCTGCTTTGTTCAGATTCCTGGGCAAAGTATCACTTGACTGAATCCTCTACCTAGTTCAGGTGTCAGGCCAGGCCTGGGCCATTCCCAACGTGCCTCCCCTCAGGAGTTCTCCCCCAGAGATCCCATCCCTAACTGGGCCCTGCACACACAGGCACACACACAGTCACTGCAGATCAGCATAGGATAGTAGGAATCACATAAAGCACAACAAAGCAAACAGTGAATGCAAAACTGGAGTGAACACAGGACTACAAGAGTAGACAAAATCCCCACAACGTCACACCTTGTTTTAAAATGGCACCTGTGTTGTGGGTGAGGTTTATAGGACATTGTTTCCAAGAAAACATCCAGACTCACACAAAACAGCATGTTATGTTGTTGCCCACGGTGGCAGTGATATATCTCAGCACTGTGGGGTGACATTGATGGGGGAAGAGGTCACACTGTGGCTGAGCATCAGGTCATGACCCATTTCTCCCAGGGAACAAACTTTAAAATGGTGGCAGCCCATGTGCCACTTTTGAATTGGTCAGTGCTCAGTGTTTGAAGGGAGATCTGGTCTGAACGCAACACCTGTAGTGCACTTCCTCCTACCACCTACTTGCAGATTGAATACAATGCATTACATTGGGTCTGCTTCCCTCCACCTTACTGGCTCAGTGCATACAGAGTGAACCGAACCCACCACTTAGCCTCTGTTCCACCCCTGGCTAATCAGGACCTTGTACTACTTCATACATAAAACAGCTGGGTTGAGGGTTTTTGTGTGACTTTGCCAAAATCTTTGAGAATTAATTAATTAAGAGTTGTAATGACTAAGGTCTAGTCTACACAAGGAAATTAGGGCAGTGTAACTATGTTGCCCGCAAATAACAAACTTAAACCAACCTAACGCCTGGCCCTAGGCACTATTGGACCAATGGGAGAATTCTCCCATCAACCTAGCTACTGCCACTCTGAGGGACATAGTACCTATGCCAATGGGAGAACCCTCCTGTTGTAGTAGGTAGTGTCTTCACTGATGCCCTATAGTATTGCAGCTGCAGAGGTGTTATGGTATGTATGTAGCAATACCTTAATGCTTCTGTTTGTGAAGAGATGGCAGATATTTTAACATCAGTGTTAAAGTATCCTTGGCCTTTATACTAAAGGAGATAGTGGAAAAACTTAAAATTACACAAAATTGGAGAAATAGACACTTAAATTCCAGGGAGACACTTTCCAAGGGGCTTTACAATTTGTGATGCCTTCTGTCAGATGCTTTCCCTTATGGCACTTGTTAGTTCCTGATTGCAGGGTCCCAAGAAACAATACCACATTGGTATAATCTGGTTCTATCAGCTGGTCTTTACAAACTTCATGCTCCAAACTTGTGGGCTGTGGGAATCCTTTAGATATTTCCATAGTCACAGGAATCACTGCTTCTCTACTCTCCCCAGCTCTTCATCCTGATCCTGTGTTCCACAGAGTGGCATTGGGCAATTTGAGATCTCATTGATAGCCGTGAATGGGGATGCTGTGCAATGAGGTGAATTGGTTTTTGCAGCTGAAGAGTGGGGAAACAGCTGTCACATTTTAGTGGACTCCATGAAGTCTGAGTCCTGGGGGGCTGGTGGCGTCCTTGAGCAGGTCCAATGGTGCTGGGAGACTGGCTGGGTCCGCCTGAAGCTGGTTATGGAACGCCTTAGGGAGCCCAGCCGCTTCCAAAACCTTAACTGTGGTTCACTGGCATCCTCTGGGTGGTAGGGCATGCACTCATGTGGCCCATAGCGGGCCTGGTCAAGTGCTGCTGGTTTGCAGAGAGTGACAAAGATGAGACAGGTAGCCAGGAGGAGGAAGATGCAGATAAGTGCGATGATAATATGCAAAGGATCTGGCTTCTCCCCTGTGGGCACAGGACTTAGTGGGACCAACTGTGTGGTGTTTACAAGAAATCCAAGTATTCTAGGTGTTGGAGAGGTCTCGTTCCCAACATCATCTGTGTTCATCTTTCCTGCAATGCACAACATTAAAAGAAATAAGGTGATTTAAGCTATTACCATATAGAAGCTGTTCCGCAGCTGTTGTAAAATTGACTGCTGGCCTCAGTCCATAGAGGTATGAACATCACCAAAACCACCCTCATGGCTGATGCCAGTCGGCAGTGATGTGGCCCTCCAACATCAGCAAAGACAAGTACAATTTGGGATTCGATATGGGATGACCCTCTTATCCTTAGAGGATGGTTCCTCCAGAACTGGGCTGAGGCATATCAGTGGGCCAGTGTGTGTGATTCATGTCTTACACATGTTCCTTGGATAAAGTAAAGACTTCAGTTCACCAGGCTGCCAACCCAGCACCTTCATCATCAGTACTAAAATACATCTGAAAACATGATACAGGACTGGCCCCAATAAAAGTGAGGGTAGCTGAAGCTTCCATAAAGCCCATCATTACACAGGCAACCTCTTTGCATTCCGCTCATAATTCTGATGCCTTCCAACAAGCAACTGACATTTTATTTTTAATAAATTGAATGACCTGGCTGATAGTCCAAAGTTCGGACTCTCTAGAAATGAAGTACGGGCTGCAAGCCTGTGACATGAGATTATGGAACTCTTTGTTCTAATACACCAGCAGGGACAGTGCATCAAAAGAGACCCTGTTGTGGGATTTAGGTCTATTAAATACAGTTTCTGTGCACTGAACTAAAATACGTGATATAAAGCAACAGAGCCCCCTGACAAGAATATCTGTTAAAGAGAATATATACCCACAAATTGATTTATGGAGCAAAACACACTATCCTTCTTGTCCTGAGTAATTAGCATACCGTAACTCTAGTGCTGCTTGAAACTTGACAGGAGGTGACCTTTCTTTCAGGGACTGTGTCTTTACCATCCCCATGAAAATCTGTCCTGGTTTGGCCATGTTATAAGCCTTTCAAAAAATCATAGCAAATATCTGTGAAACCCGTGACACTATGATTAGGAAAAACTTAAAAAACAACGAATGGGCCTGATATGTTCATGATACCATCTACATTTTTATTAGTATCTAAGGTTCTATTGTTTAAGTTTTTTAAGTTGTAAACTAGCATGGTTACGCCTCTGAGACTTGAGTAGGAAAAATACAGGTTGGACCTCCTTAGTCTGGCGCCCTTGGGACCTGACCAGTCCCAGATGAGGGATTTTGCCAGACCAAGGGAGGTCATTTCTGGGCCCACCCCTGTCACCCCCACCGCCAGTCATGGCTTTGCTGCTGGCTTCCCAGCCAGCTTCCTGCTGCCACTGGCCCCTTCTCACACAGGGCTCCCAGCCCTACTATGGCAGCCCCACTGCCAGCCTGCAGTCCCACTGCCAGGCTCCATCCCCTGTGGGACAGCGCCCCCTGCTGGGGTCCAGTTGTGCCACCAGGCGACAAGACCTGCTTGGACTTCAGCCTTGCTGCCTTCCAGCCTTACCAGGCAACTCCACCGGTGACAGTGGGGCTGCTGGGCTTTTTGCTGCACCCCGCCACCAGGCAGTCTGCGGTCAGGTTCAACCTGTACTCTGCTGCATATTTCCACAGAGATTGAATCACTATTACAGAATATTTCCTATGAAAACATTCTAAGTATTAGACTGGCATAATGTGCAATCAAAACATTTTAAACACACGAAAATATAAGAAAACACAATTTTAAAATTATAAAGCTTTAAAGCAGATCTATTAATTATAATAAAAAGGCAATAGCATTTACACACACATACCACATACTCAGTCTTTAAGCAATCATGTTATATTCCAGCATTAATACTTTATCAACTAGTCACTAAAAAGACTTGTGGCTGATGGTGCCTGTTTAATATGATGAACATATGGTGAGGGACCAGACTTAAGATTCAATGTGCACAGCTATAATTCAGTCCCCCTGTGACACTGTATCACGATCTCAGTCCCCTGGCGCTCAGAACTCATGGATCTCTGCTTAGCCCCATTTATCTTACTAAATGTCAGGTCAGAGCTGTGTCAGTTCCCCCTTCTATCAATAGGATACTTTTTCCAGGTTGGTAAGATGTTTGCTTTTGTTTCAGCCTCTGTTCTTCCCACATCTTCAGTGCAAATGTTTTTCATGGTAAAAATATGAAAACTTTTCAGACTTCACACCCCTCACCCTGGCATTACCGCAATGCTACCACAACTCTTCTGGAGGAGTGGCTGAAGGCCCCCTTTTGGATTCACCGGCATTATTGTCAGTGTTCACTGGAGTGTGACCAAAGCACTCCTTTCACATGGCTTCAGAGGCAATTCCATTCCTAACCATCCAGGAAAATAAGCGAGGTTTTGAGTCATTTCTTTTTTCCACTTACTGAGTCATTTGGGAGTAATTTTGATTTCTAGAGGGGAATTCTCAGCATGAATCACAGAGTTCTGGCTGACATGAACACTACTTAGTCTTGCCAGCTCTTTTCATTGCAAGTCTTGCAGTATTTGGTGTTTTCTCTTAAGGATTCAGTCCCTGAGTTCAAGTCATTGTATGAAAATTTCAGCTTTCACCATTACAAAGCCAAGCTTGAAAATGTGAACCTACATTTAGCACAGAGGTTCAAAAAACAGAAGACAAAAAAATAGATTTTAAGCCAATTTCATTTTTGGAGAACTGTCTTAAATTCTTGGGGTCAGTAGTATGAGATGCTGATTTCATTTTTGGAGAACTGTCTCATGAGCTTTAAATTCTTGGGGTCAGTAGTATGAGATGCTCCACTGTCAATATCCAGTCATTCAGGAAGAGAATACATTAAGGGATTTGCAAACATCTGTCACTTTATGGGCCATATTTTTCTGTGGGCCATATTTTCTCTTGGTTATATCCAATGTTCTTATAACTCCATTGACTTGAATTGAGATACTCTAAATTTACACTGCTGCAATTGCAGGCATTTGGCCATTGGGCTCTGAACTAAAGAGTGGAATCTCTTTGATAAACCAGACAACTTTCTGCACTGTATTGTCATTATGTCTGTCATTTTGTTTTTCTCTACTTCTCAGATTCCCCCGATTTAATGTCCACTATTGTTTTCCTGAGACAATGTATTGATTTCCCTTCTCCCACCAAGCCTGTTGAATGTTCATCCTAATCCAAAAATAAACTAAAACAGACTTGCAAGTCTGAGAAGAAACATTTCTGCTCTCTTTCTGCAGACCCTTTCCCTTAATTGCTTGCACCTGGCAACTCCCTCATCCCTTCCCCAGTTGTTTGCCCATCTCTTTCTTACTGAGATGGTGTTGCCAGAGCCTGTACTCCACACTGAGTTGGCACAGGGAACTGCTGTGCGGTACCCACTAGTAAAGGACTTTCCATGTTACTGGCTGTCTGGAACTTCCCCAGTAAGGCCCACGTTAAGTGGGACCCTGTGCTACTACACAGTCAAAGGCCTTCATCAATTAACTGTTCAGTCCAGGGGGAAATGATGGCTCTGTACAGACTCATTCAGGCCAGCACTGCAGCTAGCAATTTGAAATTAGTTTTATGCTACTGCTGAGCAAATTGTGCCTGATATATATTTAAAATTGGCATCTATCCACTTGAATTGAAATTAGGATTCAATTCAGCCACGTACGCAACTAGAGGTGGCAAATTTAGAATTTAATTTCCCCTTTAGAAAAAATCTCATTAAACACACTGGGAAAATTATTCTGTACATATGTTAATAAAGCTTTGTCCAGAAGTATTTTTACATATATTAGCCACTCTATTTCCTCTCAACCCTGCCTGCACAGTAGTCTTGGACTACAAAGTTGCCATTCTGTGATTGCTACTATAACAGGCAAAACGATCTAGTGAAATCCAGCAGTGTTAATAAAAAGCCTATTTAAAGACAAATCTGCTTGTAACAAAAACGTCGCCCAATCTGATTAAATACAATATATAGTGACTGGCATATGCCCGTGATTAATTGGGAAGGGGTTTGTAAAATGTTCCCAACACAAGTGAAAAAGTCATATGGAATATAATAAGAAATAGAACAAAAAGTTCCTCTCCTTAGTCTCACCAAATAGCAGGAGTGGGTTTGTGCATATTTGCAGTTGTTTTCACAAACTCTCATCCCCTTTTCTGATCTTTGAAAGTCATTTTCAGTGGCTTTTGCTCTTGTGACACATACCTGGTGAAAAGTGGCTTTCCTCTTCTCTTCTTATTGTATCTTGTAAGTGGCGAGTGCTAAGGAAGTGTCCCTAGCTTTGCTTAATATGCGCACACACAAAAAAGAAACCAACCCAAAATCACTTTTCACTTGTGTGGAGAAGGAGGTATAGCATTCAGTGGCTCAGTTTTCTACTAACAAACTCAAAGTTTCATAAAACATGGTATTTTAGTTTGCAATTAATGCAGAACAATCATTTAAAATATGTGTTCATTTGAGTAATCTCCTCAGTTCATTGCCCCAAAACCCTACCAGCAGAGCAGTAAGAAACACATGCATAGACCAGTTTCTCTCCTCCATTGCTGGGATACCCCAGCAGACAGACAGACAGTGATAATGAATGACCAGGTTTGCTTGTGATCACCTTATTTCAGCAGCATCCCAGATCATCTCACACCCTCATGGCCTGGCTACTTTAAAGCTCGTATGAGTCTTTTGCTTTTCTTCAAATTGTTGTGAAGCCAAACTTGAAAATGGGGATGAGGAAGGGCTGGGATAGACTATCCAGATTGGAAGAACCTCAGTGCACTGACCTGTCCCTTAGAAGCTGTCAAGAAATGCTGAATAACACAAGCTGAAAGATAGCTCCTCAGAGTTAGTCCAGATCATTCATCATTTTCCCATTTGTGTACTCTAGCAGCTGCTGTTATTTTTCCAGGACAAAACCATGATGCTGCAATCCCCTGGCTTTGTACCTCTCTCAGTAATTCTCAAGCTGCACAGGAGTGTCTACTTTTCCTGTCTCTTCCCTCTCGGCGGTGTGCCTGTCCATAGCTCTCTTTTGTCTTTCAGTCCTTTACTTCTTGGGAGAGGAGAAAGGGGGGGGGGTGTGGATAAGGTAGGATAGGGGGAGAGATGGCAGCTAGGATGGGAATAGCTGGGACTGACTAAGCCAAAACAACTTATTGAACTAGCTAAACCTACAGAGATCCTGCACTTTAGAATCAACAAATTCATTTGATCATTTCTTAGGACTGTATTTTTTTTTAAGGTTTGGATGTAGTTCCTTTAAGGAAGGGATATCAGATTAAATTGTAATTCTTTGAGCAGCTCTCACCTTCCCCTGTGTAAAGTTTGAATGGTACAGTCTGGTGGCTGGATGCTATTCACTGAATGCCAGCCTTTAAGTTACTCTGCAAGCAGATTTGGGATCAGCAGCTGGGGGAGGGGGAGAAATAGAAGTGGGTCTCTCTCCTTTGCAATTTCTTCTCTCTCAGACACACTTTCTCTCCTGCTTGTTTCATTCTTCTGTTTTTCTTGTCTCAAAATAATTCCTTAATCTTTCTTTGCTTTTTCTTTCCCCCGTTTAACTTTCCTTTACTACCCATTTTTGGCCTCTTTCTCTGTCCTGTACCTATTGGTCCCTCCTTTTCAAGTTAATGTGCAAAAGGGATTACTGAGGGGACAGATAGCTCAGTGGTTTGAGCACTGGCCTGCTAAACCCAGGATTGTGAATTCAGTCCTTGAGGGGGCCATTTAGGGATCTAGGATAAATCTGTCAGGGATGGTACTTGGTCCTGCTGTGAGGACAGGCAACTTGACTCAACTTGATGACCGCTCAAGGTCCCTTCCAGTTCTGAGATAGGTATATATCTCCATATATTACACAATTTACCAGGGATTCTTTGTGTCATCTTTCTGCTTTTTGATATACAAAGCAACCCTGACAGTGATGCGTGTGTGTATGTTTTGAAAAAGCAGCTTTTCCCTGCTGACTACTTTGGAAATACCAGGAGTATCTTATCTTGTCTTATCAGTTTATTTTAGAGCACTCGCCACAGGACTGGCTGCAAAAGAAGGAATGTTGAAACTTTCACAAAGGGCATGTCTACACAGCAGGGCTAAGGTGAAATAAGCTAAGCAACATGAGCTATGTCAATTGCATAGTTTAAGTTGAAATAGCTTATTTCGGCTTTTGGCGCTGCCTACCACAACAGAAAGTCTGAGTTGGAGCACTCTTCCTCCGACATCCCTTACTCCTCATAAAATGAGGGTTGCAGGAGTTGGAGTAAGAAGTCCTCTAGTTCACCATTATTTCAACATTATGTCGAAATAACCGCTTGTGTAGACGTGAACTATATTATTTCGGAATAACGTGAGTTATTCTGAAATAACGCTACTGTGTAGACATAGCCAAAGAGAGCTTTTCTCCCATATGTTTCCACTTTTTTGAATTAAATGGGTTTTAAATATAAGCGGTCTAACTAAAAAGTTCTTCCTCTCTCAACTGCTCAGCTTTGTCTGTTACTTGTGATGTCCTAATCCTGCTGCTTCTCCAGTCAGCAACAGAATCTTTCAGAAGAAGACCAGATCTAAAATTCTAATGTAGAAAACAATCAGAAAATATTACAAAATATTGTGGGCAAGTTGCCTTTAGCAGCTTTAAAGCAAGATTTTCATAATGTAGAAAATCTTTAAATCTACCATATTAGGAAATTGGATTTTGGCTTTGTGCCTTTTTCCTACTTTTTGATAAGTATCAAATATATTAGGGCCACATTGTTCTACCATCCCAGCCCAGGAATGGTAGATTAGTGCACAAGTAGCTTTGTTGAAATCAGGACTATTTGAGGAGTAAATATACTACTCTACATGAATAAGGGTATCTGAGCATTTTTGTTTAACCAAATATTTCCCTCCAACGTTCCTAATGCTGGATTTGTTGCTTCCCAGTCATTTTAGTGGCATCCTAAGCACCTGATTGAAATTTCCTCAGCAGAGAAGCTGGGCAGCGAAGCAGAACATGTTTACTGAAAACAAATAGGTTAATAAATGCAAATGGAAGCCAATGGCTTGGGTGCCAAAACACTCTCTTTCCACCTACTGGCCCATTTTGCACATATCTCCATGTAGCCTACCTGCCTTGTGGCTTTATCAGCTAACCTGGGATGGGCTATGAAAAAAACTTCCTGTGTGGAAGTGGATGAGGAACACTTTCTGGGTGGTACTTTCAACTCAGTTTAGGAGATTTGGATGCCTAATTCCTAGGAAAGGCAAAGCTGTTTCAAAGGTGAGTTCCCCCCGCCCATCATAGCTAACTTGAAATTCGTTTCAGTTGACCCCAAAATCTGTTATTTTGCACACTTTTCACTTGGAAATAGGTCCCCTTTAATTTAATCGGGTAAATTAAAATGGGCCCAGACCAAGCTAAGGCTGTCTTTGAAAATCAGACCATGGACAGGGTAGCTGAAAATGCAGCAGGGTGCATTGGTCAGCCCTTGGCCAGCAGAAAAACTCACCATGTGCTTGCAGCTAGAAAATGTGTAATAATCATATTTTTCTCAGGGAGGAGGAGACATGGTAAATATCTGGGGGAGATGGACTAGACAGACACTGAGGAGGAGACATGGGGATGAGTGAGACTCAAGAAGGAAAGCTGGATAGTTTACGATTGTGGGGGGTCAACATTTGCAAAAGAGGCCATTGACGTGGGCTGTCTTCACTTTTTGGATATCCTACTGAAGGCACGTAGGACCCAACTTTTAAAGGTGCTAAGAGGCCTATGCTTCCCATTAATGTCATTTAGACTTGGGGCTGCCTTGGAAAACCAGTACAAAGATGTCTGAAGATGGACACTCAGGAATGGAGGCACCCCAATGTAGTGGTTAGTTCTAATTATTTGGGCCTTGCATCTGTTCTGCAGCCAAGCAAAATAAAATTCTTTGGGTATGTCTAAACTACATTGGAAGAAGGATGTAAATTAGTCAAATTGAAGGTGCAAATGAAGCGGGGATTTAAATATCCTGCACTTCATTTGCATAATGGCATCAAAAAATAAGAAGTACGGGATCATTCGAAAAAGGGTTTTTTTCCCGAAAGAACTGCGTCTAGATGGTACTTTCACTTTTGAAAAACCTTTTTCGAAAAAGTGCTTCGACACCATTATGCAAATTTAAATCCCCAATTCATTTGCACTTTCAATTTGCCTAATTTACATCCCTCTTTTGACCGAGGGATGTAGTTTAGACATTCCCCTTGTGTAACTAGCCAATAGCCCGTCATAAAACGGGATTTTTCTGGTCTCACCTCCATGTCCGTCTCTCTCTCTCTTTCTTCCTCCTCCTCCTGACTCCCCCCCCTCCCCCCCAGCTCTCCTCTGCCTCCTGCCTGCCTCTCTATCTCTCTTTCTCATCTACAGCGTTAGAGAGTCACAGACATTGGGCTACTGTATATATGATGCCACATTTGGAGTTTGTATTGCAAATCCCCTTTCTGGTTTATTAAACCAGAATATTCAGCCAAAACATACAGCCTTGACAGAATGAAACATTTATACTACGTGGAAAAGTAATTCAAGAAAAATGCTTGAGAAATTTTCTGAATTCGTGCGCATTGATGCATTTTTTTTCACTGTGGTCATTTTGCAAATTAATAGCCACAATTTACACTTGCTTCCTTCTGCATATTGGGAGAAGAAGGATGTTTGTTTCCCTCCTTCAAAGGAAATTAAAAAGGGTTGAGTCATCTGGGATAGGAGGCATTAGAAACTCCTTCACTGAACCCCTTCAGTATTCTGCTTGAAGGTTGCTAAAAGCTGGGGTGTGAGCAGATTTGCTATAGCTGCTCTGCTGATCAGGCAGAGGCGGGGCAGGAAGGATAGTTGGTGGTGGTGGGTTCCTGGAAAGTGCTCTTGTGGAGGGGAAATCTTGCAGTGTGCGATAGAAACACCAGGTGGACCCATTATGTAAAGTTTCCCCAAGTGTTTGGCAACATTTCATTCAACACTATAAATCTAGGATATTGGAATTATCCTTCTGCAATCCATTCAGCCCAGTAACTTGTCTCTGATACTGTCCAGAACCATATGCTTCAGAGTACAATGCAAACAATTCCATAATGGACAATTGTGGAATAACCAACCCAGCAAGGACATTTCTTCACGATCTCCACAACTAGGTTTTGGTTTTGCCCTAAATCATGAGGCTATATTGCCCATATACAGTATATACTATATATAATATACCCTACAGAATGTAACTGTGAATGGTCTTAGCTGCATGAAGCTTTTCTGATAGCTCTGTGATTTGAATCCAGAAGTTCCAAAGCTTGCTGGCTCTATTGCATAAATATTTTGTTCTGTCGATTTTACACTTTCTTCCTTTTAAATGTGTTGAATGTTACCTTTATTTGCAATATGAGAGAGGTCAAGTGGGTGCTCCTATTTACCCTTTTCCATACCATTTACTACTGTAAACTTCCATTATATCTGCTCTTGCTCATCCCTAGTCTAAACTAAGTAGCTCCAACCTTTTCAGTTTCTCTATATCTGGAAAAGGGGTAGCCATGTTCTTCTGTAACTAAAACTTAAAAAACAACAATAGTCCTTTAGCACCTTAGGCTGTGTCTAGATTACATCCCTCATTCGACAGAGGGATGTAAATTAGGCACTTCGAAATTGCAAATGAAGCTGGGATTTGAATTTCCCACGCTTCATTTGCATAATCTCGAAATGGTGCTCTTTTGAAAAAGCGCTATTTCAAAAGTAAAAACGTGGTTTAGACGCAGTTCTTTCAAAAAGGGAAGGCTTTTTCGAAAGACCCTGTAACAGTTTTTATGCAGTTTTACTTTTGAAATAGTGCTTTTTTTAAAGAGCGCCATTACATGAATATGCAAATGAAGCGTGGGAAATTTAAATCCCGGCTTCATTTGCAATTTCGAAGTGCCTAATTTACATCCCTCTGTTGAAAGAGGGATGTAATCTAGATGTACCCTTAGAGATTAACAAAAACATATAAATAGTATCATGAGCTTTCCTGGGTACAACCCACTTCTTCAGATGACAAATATGGAGCAAGAGGCCCAGAGTTTGGAATATAAAGAGAATCTGCAGAACTAGCTTTTATATGCAAATT